TTGCTTTGTGTTTCCATTTAATATTTTCTGATAAACTGCGGAGCGCCTGTAAAATGAGCGGGTTCTTGAGTTTTTATATATATATATATACGATATAAAAAAATATATATATATATATGTAGGTTCTTACCTGTAAGCCAAATATGGTGACGTCGATGGCAATGTTGTGATCACTGTTGTGACACCCCGACCCCCCCGCCAACCCCAATTTATTCACACGACCAATCGATGACAATGTTGTGGTCATGACAATGCTGTGATCGATGACAATGTTGTGATCAATGACATGACACACCGACCCCCCCCCCAACCCCCCCCCCCCCCCCACCCCCACCCACCCCACCCCATTTTAATCACACGACTATTCGATGACAATGTTGTGGTCATGACAATGCTGTGATCGATGACAATGTTGTGATCGATGACAATATTGTGATGTTGAAGTCTCCGATGTCCCCGATGATGCTGAAGTCCCCGGAGAACCCCCCCGTCCAGACCCTACATGGATACGAGGGCGCATCCGCGCAGCCATACTTATCGACATGGTTTGCAATGCCGGTTCATGGCACTGTTGCGTTGATGTGTTCACTTGGTTTTCGTGGACTCTGGACAGGGCGAGTTCCCAGATTTCAGCGGTTTTGATGTACAACGGTTTTGCTTTCGCTGAGCCAAGGAAAGCCTTGCAACAGGGCTGCAGGATGAGAAAGTTCCCCGGAAGTAGGAGGGAACCAGCAAGTAGGTAGCAGTCAGGAAATGTTTAGAAACGCATGGATACGCTAAACACAGATCTCAACATCTCGTTGTCCTTCTTGCTGCTTCATCGCTGCAGTTACAGTGTAAGGCAACACTATTGCATCGACCGCAGCTCTTTGGCCTGTTCGCAACTTGTCCACATTGGCTTGACAATGCAAATCACAAAAGAGGCTTCAGCCCAACAGTGCTTCGATGGAGCCAATTGTAAATGCCTGCATGTCGGACATGTCGAGCTTGGGAGCTTGAAAACTCCTCCACAAGCACCCCCCCCTTCTCTTCTATATAAGGGGTATTGCTGGGTGTTGGGCAGCTTTGGAGCACTCACATTGACACCCTCAGGGTTTTGAAATCAGACTCCGGCTGTTTCAATCACGTGACACACGACAGCAGGTTCAACTTGAAGAAACCCAACAGCTCAGTAAACTACTTGTTTTTGGTCGGCTCAGCATGGCCAAACCACCCTCACAGTGTTTACCTTGATTGATCATTAGTAATTAGGTACAGCCGGTACAGCCATTCTATAGAGCTGAACGTCTTGAAACGCGACCATTTTTCGGTGAGGCCACAATTTTCCCAAATCGTCGTTTTGCTGGAATTGAGGCATCAACGTTAACGTTCAGCCCCAAGATTATCAGAGCATTACAGCTTTGCACATGCAAAGCTGTCCAGTGGTCATAGAGCCACATCACGAAAGCTAGCGTGCTAGCGGAGTTCTTCTTTGCTTCAGCAATCCTGTATTGGGATGAGGTTTGTGCTTGATCTTTCACACTCAGGAGGCCCCCCCTGCTGGTTCAACTCCCAAAGGGGACGCATGCCAGATTCCTGTTGTCAAAATGACAGCTACCTCAGGTAGACTTCCTGACTTCAGATGATGCAGGTGTCATCCCTGACCCAACGTTACCAAATGAAAGAGTATTGAAGCGAACGCGTCTGTCAGAGGTTCGTGTGCTTTGACAAGGCCTGCTTCAAAACACCAATGTGTACACACAAAACCCCCATAGTGTGGATCTGAAGCTGCTGCTACTTCTGCTTGTTTACTGGAAGCATGCCTACAGGTCGCTTCGGGAAATGCGTTGTAGACTTTGGCCGCAGCATTTTGCTGCGTGTTTGCTGGGTCACCTGCTGGCCTGTTGCCTGTTTTGCTGCTGGTCAGCTGCTGGTTTGCTGGTGTGCTGGTGCTTCTTGTATGCGGCTGCTGCTGGGTCTGGGTCTGGGTCTGGGTCTGCTGCTGCTGCTGCTGCTGCTGCTGCTCCCTTGCCTTTTATCGCTTTGGCTAGCTTTCGGCCTCCCCCCGTCCCTGACCTCAAGTGGTAATTCAATGTATATCACTATCACGTCACCTAACAACGTAAGTTAATATTTTGGTATGTCACGGAGTTCAACATAGTTGGCCAGCCGCATGGATTGGACTCCAACATCCATAGAGAAGGGACACCTTCACATTTTGAACATGCGGGTCCTTAGCTGAATCAACTTTTTCAGCGCAGTATCAGTATCAGCTCGGTTGGCGCTAGACTTCTATATATAACCGTTACTTGTGTCGTACATGAGCGAACGGCCAGTTGCTCTTTCAGACGTCGGTCCACTTTGTGACCAGTCGTTTGTTGCTTGTTCTTTTGGAATCCATACATTTATGCTCCAACTGGACACTTCGCATAACCTCACACAATTGTACGCAGCTGAGATTTTGCAACATTGTGTTTGACTGAATCAGTTGTACGTGCTGCATGGTGCAAAACCTTGTGAAGTTGTTGGGCAGCCATTGCACAGTCGCACTGTGTAATTGGAAAATATATACTACTATATAGTTGATTCTTTCGCCCCCGAACCGCCTGAGACGCCCTGACAGTTGTTTTGGCGTGCAAGAGGGAAAAGATTACTGTACATTAACAATTCAGAGTTTCTTTGTGAATAGTCAATCTCCTAGCCTTTTCGACCCAAAAGAGCCGAGTCTTGAGTCTTCAACAGTTTTCTCTCTCGTTGTTTTCTACAGCTGAGCATGACGGACGATTGACAATTGAAGAACGATAAACATGGATGGACCAGCAAGAAGAACGTTGTATTTGCTTATATAGTTGCGCTTTACGGCGTTCAACTTTGAGTCGATTTGTTACTGTAAGGTGGATGCGGAGACGATTCTTTCAGATGAAGAACGAAATCACATCGACTCTTGAAAGCGGTGGCTGTTTAATGGGAACTGAAGGAATCACGACACAACCCGGAATGGTTGAGCTGTGTGTTGAAGTATCATTCAGGCTGATAGGTTTGGCATGGTTTTGCACAATGAATGACGCTATCACACAATTTGCCACCTCTGCTTAAAGACATACAGACATTTGTAGCTGGTTCAGTGGGCGAACTGGGCTCATTTGGGGTGTCAATGCGCCCGTCCAAGGTGAGTCAATTGAAAGAAGAGCTGCCAGGCTGTCCAGAAGATGCAGTTTCATGGTTTTTCATCATCCAACAGGATTAGGGTTCGATGCTAGCTAGACAACCCGCACTATCATGACATTTGCTGCAGCACAACACACCCAATGTAATGACAAAAGCATACAAAAGCAACGATGTTGACTCTTGATTAATCAGCCCCCCTCCCCCATTTCCCCCACCCCTCAACAATTGGAGACCTTAGAAAAATATGATCGAAAACCAATCAATTGATGAATACATAAAGAATCCTTACTTAGCTACCTTTGGAGCTACTCTGGCAATACTAAGATGAAAGGAATCAAGATTGAAGACATTTGCAATTAAACATCAAAGGAAACAAGACACCCGAAAGGAATCAAAATATTACCCCCCCACAAAAACACATTATTCTGGGGGGACCTGTATTAATAAGTGCAGGGAAAGTTGCTGACATTATTCTGGGGGGCGTGTATTAATCACAGGTCAACATCACTTACCTGGAACAGCACAGACAGCACGACAACAGTTCAACAGACAGCCAAGCACTTCCAGATCCGCATCAGTTGTTTTATTCTGGCTACGGCTATGGACCACTTGCTGTAAGCTGTCCCATGCTTATTCCAGGTTTCTGGACCCAGTCCGGGCAGAATCCACTCTGTCAGATCCTGTCAGGCTTGAGTGGGTCCTTGATGAGAACGGTCCAGGCAGCCGTGCGTTTGCGCTCGTGTTTTTTCACATGCCTTTCCAGGGGTTGAAAAGGATACATGACCACTACTGTGTGCTCCTTCCTGTTCTTGTTCCACTGCTACTACTATGACGGCTGCTGTGAATTACAAGTAGCAAAGGACTAATGATACATATATATATACTACATTACATAGTTACATATTATATATGTTGTATATGTACACTCATCCTTGCCGCCATCGTCATTGTCGTCGTCGTCGCCGTCGTCGTCGTTGAAGCAGTCATCGGCGCGGGTGTTGTGGTTGTCATGGTTGAAGTCGTTGTCGTCGCGGTGGTCGTCGTCGTCATAGTAGTGGCAGTGAAGGTGCTAGTGGTAGTGGTAGTAGTAGTAGTAGCAGTGGTAGCAGGAGTAGTCTTGCTGGTATAGTCAACTATTAGCAGCCATTAGCACTCGCAGAAGCAGCAACGGAGTAGTAGTGGTCGTCGTCATTGTCGTTTTAGTCGTTTTTCGTAGGTGTGACCAGGGTGGTTCCTAGTAATGCAACCACTGCTGCTGCTGCTGCCGCCGCCAACTGACTGTTTTTGGACCGGAAGGAGTCATTGATGCTCATGGAATTAGCTGGACCTTCTCGAACCTCCCGTGGATCCTGAGAGAGCAGAAAGGGGCAGCGGATGATCCCAGCCAGGGAGAACCATTTGGAGGTTGAATTGGAGAAGATGAACTTCATTATGTTCAGGAAGATGCTCAAAGTGAGTGGCCATCGAGTTTGACCAGGAGATCGTCAAAAAGAAACGTCCAAGACGACAGCAGCTCCTTCGAGAACGCCGCGGGGCAGAAGGGGGTAAGCTGAAGATGGGCAAGGAGGCTACCTTGGCTGGCACTCGCTGCAAACCAAGCCACGGAGTGAATACATTCAGAGTCTGAAGCATGACGACGTAGCATGTTTGGAGCGTAGTCACCCCACCTCGGCTGGCGCTCGCTCCAAAGACAAGCGATGGAGTGAATACATGTGTCATCACGAATCATGTGTCTATGATCACAGTCGGAACCAACAAGCTTCAGCTAGCACGCACCATCCGCACTTGCGTAAGCATCTGAGCTGTGTGTCACAGGTATTGCTGGTTAGTTATGCGCATTTGCGCTCTTGCATCGATGCACATGAAATCAAGGGTATGACCACAGATAGAAGCGACAAACACTTTAATCAGTAGGCCTGTGTGTGGCCCAGGTGTTTTTGCCTTTTGCTCCACCAACGCCAGAACGAAAATTGATTTGTGGAGTGTATATACTTATATAATGCGCATCCTCATGTCATGTTTGCTCGCCACGTTCCTAGCGTGGAGTAAGAACACCGAACACCAAATTGCAAAATAAAAAGAGTCCTGGCGTTTTTGTTGCCGTTGTGGCACAACAAATCGAGTGTGTTATTTTTTTGCGACGATGGCAAGATCGATTTATTTGAAAAAACATGCACATATGCGACAAGAACTGGAATATCCAGCGATAGACGATGTGTTTGATTGCGATAAGGAGTGTCCAGCGGCACTAGTTTTCGGGAAATTACAAGGGCTGCCGACGGACACGGTGTCCTTGCTTCAAGAGCAAGCTATGATCCTCAAGCCTCAACGGCTCAATGAACCTCAAACCTCGGATCCCTAGACCAGAATTAGCGGGCAATGGCAGGCAAAGTGAAAAAGCTTACTATAAGGTTGATGTTGATGATGGTTGATGCACATCAGGCATTCCGATGCAATGATGTTCAAGCCGTTTGGACATATAGATTTAATTAGATTTCTATTTATGGATGGCTGGAGCGGACAAAATTACAAATGTCACTTGGAAGTAAGACTCATGGAATTGATCAACTTAATAAGGTGCAATTGAACGGCCAGAGATAATTTGACGGGAATTAGCAAGACAGCGTTGTGACGCGACGAATTTAATGGACCACAAGGTCAGAAGAGGGAGGTTGAAGGGAACTACTGTAGAAGGACAAAACCAAAACAAACCAAACCATACGATCCAAAAGCAATGCGTTGCGAGCTCGCAGCATTGCACAAGTGTCGCCAGCGCATGATTTCCGAAGTCTCACTCAGAGTTACGCTTTGGGCATGGCAGCGTGGTTGTAAGGTTGGCCTGGGGGCCTACTTTTTCGTTCGTGGACCATTGCACAACGTGCGAACATACTACTTGCTGTTTGCTGTATGATTGCGAAATGTTGCCGAGCTCGGTTAAGCCCTTACCTCTCTTACAACCAAGCCCTGATCGCAACTTTTTGGCCTGGAACCTTGCAACTTTGTGACTTTGGAGCCAGCATGAGCCAGCCCCTAGGCCCTGATCACATTTTTGCTCTGGAACTTTGGAGATGTCCCCTCGTCCCAGCACATCGCATTGCTTGTCTATCTGCACTGGTTGGCCATCAGAAGAGGCTAAGTGACTGCGCAAGTGCCCTTCGTGAGTTTTACCCACACAAAACGCATCAAACGGTTACTTGGGGTCTATGATGGTTTATGACGGTGTAATTTGTTACATGCCGCATCATGCCGCCAATTCCTGTCTCGCACTTCCTGTTTCCGTGAGCCAGCGCCATGAGCGCGAGCAAAGGGTTCGCGGCAGCACTGCCAGGTAGACATTGAAACATTGGAGCGCGAAAACTGGTGCCGGAACATGTTTGTTGCTTGGTGAGTCATTCAGGAATTCAGGAGATGCGGAAAGCCTGGAGGAATAGCCTCCCATACTCTTCTGAAGTTTGGTCCAAGTTTCCAGTGCTAATTACATGATTCCAGCTGAACATCATGCACCCAAGGACTTTTACCAGGATTTGCTACCTGATCGATTCAACAAATGCCTCATTGACTTGATGAACGTGCCATGGCTGTGAAGTTGCCCTAAACCCAAAGGAACACATCAAACTGGCCTGTCACTCTTGACGTTTGTCACTATTTGTCAATCCTATTATAAATCCAGATCGGTCAGTGTTTCGTAGGTTGGGTTAGCTGTGTCCAGGTGCCACAATCGGTTTGCCAGAGTGGGTGGGGCTGTACAGGGTGCAATACATGCAAATAGTTTACAATGTAGGTAGGGCCAAATTTGAATGCCGCTGCCGCGGTTGTTTTTGCATTTGCCTGAGGAAAAATATGGTGACAGGTGGCTCCTGGCGGTGGATGAATGCCACAGCATGATTCCGGATCTGGGGAAGGCCCACAAATGTTCGGTCACGACAGCAGCTTGGCATTGTGAAAGTGCAGGAGACGCTATTGGCTATATTGGTTCCTGCATCCAGGTTGAAAGAGAAAGAAGTTCAGTGGGGTTTGAACCTGTCGAGCGAAACGGGAGCATCCTTAGTCCAACGCAAGTCCAAGCACGGACCTTTGGAACGGAGGGGCTTGCTGTCCGAATGTCGTCGACTGACCGGTTTTCATTGTGCGGTGTTCGCCATTTCGCGTGTCGAAAACTTGCCACCAGATGCCTGTAAACTCTTCAAGGAACCCGGATGTCGTAAACTTCCAGGCTTTGTTTGTACAATTTGTTGGAACAGCTAGCCCTCCAGTAGTACACCCATATGTGGTTTGACATGGCCTGACCAGACTGAGGCAAACCCAGGATTCAAATTAAGCAGGGTGAAAAGCCTTTTGTGTTTCTTTTGTGTGTGTGTGTCTGTTTTTCAACCACTCTGCCCGCAGACAGACCTTGTTTGATCATGTTTTATCATGTTTTATCCAGCGCTCGTTTTGTTTATAAACGTTGCTTTCACTTGTCATGTCGTTGTGTTCGCTTCGCATGCCTCGATTTTGCACACCGTAGTCGTAAGTATGTGTCATGCTGAGCCGGACAGCTTCATGCTCTAATTCGGTGAGGTGGTTTGTTCACAGCCTTTGCCAGGTTTTGCATGTTTATATTAAATACGAGTTTTCTTCGTTTCCAATGGCATAAGCAATAGTGTCATGATTCTATTGTGCATCAAGGTGCGGACTCATTGCAGTGAAGTTTTGTCCGTTGCCTACCGGTCGCCTTCCGGCACAGTTTGTGTTTTCAACCATTTCCGGTGAGAGCTGGCAACTCCCAGACACCTGAGGGGTCCGGACGTAGGAGGTGTCCGAAGCAGCGGATTTCAGTGTGTCGTCGGTGAGCTCAGTGGTGGGCCTGGAGAACGTCCTGAGCACAAATGAATCGCAACTCGTGTCAGAGGCGAAATGAAGCAAAGGTTGGACGGTAGGAGACGGTTCAGACTGTCGCACGCGTTCCTTGAACCGATGGAGGGCCGGCCGGTGAGGCAGAAGAAGATGTAAAAAAAGGTTTTTGCCGGCCAAAGAAGCAACTTGGCCATCACTTGTTCCTTGTTTTCTTATTGGTTGCAACTGGAACGCCCAACGTTTGGTGTTTTGGTTTTTGTGCACGGAATGGGAATTAGCTTCCTGGCTGTTAGAGACCAAGCGGTTTGGAACATGGTTTTGTCGAGCTCTCGAAAGCGAGCACGAAGGGACATAGGGACGTGTAGAGCGCCCAGAAGTGGTAACTTCCAATGTCCATGCCATGTTTTGTTTGCAAACAGCCCATGACTATGTTCACAGGGAGGTTCCAAGAAATGGTTGCAACTGCGGTCGCAAAATGACTGGGCAGGTTAGAGTGGCTGAAATCCGATCAACAGAAATCCTTGCCAATGAGCTGGCCGAATTTGCGTGATCATCAATTACCTCGCAATGTGCCTGTGGCAGAATCTTCGGCAAGACATCCAGTTAATCAGATTGACAAAGGACATTGTTCTTTTCAAGCGTTATATGATGGGCGTAAACCACGCTTGTTGGAGCAACATGCGGCAAGAGGTATGGCCACCCTGATTTCCATCAAATCTCAGGTGCTGTTGTTGTCTGCAACTCCAGGAGCTGAGGTGCGGTAACCACTGGAGCAAGACCAATTCAAGTTGTTCTGGAGGTTCTGTCATCAAGTCCAGTACCCGCTGGTACCCCATTCCTTGCTTGCAAGTTTGGGTGGTTGGAGTTTGGCCAGGTTGAAGATCTGGGGAAGAATGGCCGCCAAGTTGTCCCAATTTCACTGGAACACCGGCCAACAAATATTCCTAATCCGGCCTCTCGGCACTAAGTGGTTTAGGGATGTGGCATGTGTCGGGATGGTGGCATATTATATCTTACACCGTTACGGCCAATCCTACCTATACTGTAGCATTGCGAGTGCTACTATTCCTATATACTATGATATACTGCCACGTGTTCGCTAAGTGCGTGCTAAGAACTTGAAACATCGCCCACAGTCACTGCAAGTATTGTCGCCAAAAAACATGCGGGGGGTAACGTGGATGCTATGTATTAATCTATTATGTTCATGCTTAGAGCTAAAACAGTTCGCATTTTTCAACCAAGACCGGGTGGTGGAGAAAGGACACGTAGTTTGCGGACGGAGAGGGTTGCATGCCGTTTTGGACCCTCTTAATATTTGGCTTCAAACTGCTGAGTAAGCACACACGGGTTTAGGTTATGCAGCCTATGACTTTGCATGTTACAAAGCTTTGTGCATATATATATATATAGAGAGAGATCAAATGTTATACAATATTATCACGAAAGCCAGCCGATAGGCTGGGCTTGAGGTTCTTGAGCGAAGGAAATGAGTAAAGGGGGTGTGGCGGGGGTGGTCGCGTGGGTCACTTCCGGAGAGGTGAACCCAGAGCCTGGTGGGGGAGAACGACAAAAAGAGGCGGGCCACTTGGTAGTGAAAATGAGGGTTTTTTTTGGGGTGTTGTGATGCCGGTGATGTAATTGACGGCCAAGTAGTGCATCATCAGCATCATGAGGGGCTCAGGAGGCCATGTAAACTGTTTTACTAGGGGTGGGAGTTCACGTCGATGAGAGGAAAGGGAAGACAAGGGGACGTGACAAGCTGGTTAGAGGTCACCGTATACTTGTTGAGAGCGGGAAAGAGAACAGATTGCAGCTGCGGGCAAGCGTTGGAGGCGGAAGGCTTTGAGTTGCTTAGGGGTGCCGTTTTTTTATCCGTGGCAAGGTCTAGTTGGTGGACTCAAAAGGGCACCCCATATGGGGAGTATCTAATCACGAAAGCCAGCCGTCAATTCACTTGAAACATAGACCAGCACACCATACCAAACCTTCCCCAAACTACAGAGGGGTGCTCTTTTTCACCTCCACAACGCCCCGACATCAAGCCGAAAAAGGGCACCCCGTCCCAAACCTATGTATTCTATTGTCTACTTCCACTCTATCTCGAATGACAGCCATATCCACTTCACCACTTCCGGCTCCTCTTTGTCCACTCTACCTATATACATATATGTATCCTTACATAAGCCTGCCGATAGCCTCGCCCATAGGCTTCCCACAACCATCTTGGCTCGCTGATTAGCACACGCAGCAACCAAACTCATATATTATATTTGAGGATTTTGAGGGGTGCCCTTTTTCATCTCCAAAGCCCTCCTCGACCTGGACAAAAAGGACACCCCTTTATAATTCTACCTTCATGTTTCTACCTCCTATCGGGTGCCTGCGATCCCAACTTCACCTCATAAAGATACGATGTTAGCCGTTAGCCAATCACTTCATCTTGCACGCTCAAGTGGCTCCAATATCGACTTCACCACTTCCGGCTGCTCTTTGTCCACTCTACCTATATACATATGTGTATCCTCACCATAGCCTGCCCTGCCCATAGCCTCGCTCACTGATTCGCAACACGCCGCAGGCAAGCGCCCCTCACTTCCTTAGGGGTGCCCTTTTTCACCTCCAAAACGCCCCTGAACCGGAACAAAAAAGGGCACCCCCCCCTAAAGCTATGTGTTCTACTTTCTGTTTCTACCCCCTATCAGTGTGGCCGCGATGTCAACTTCACCCCATAAAAGTACTCTTTGCCCGATGTTAGCCAATCTCAAAATTCCCCCTAAACAAGGACAGAAAAAGGCGCCCTTGCAGACCTATATCTTCTACTGTCCATTTCTACCCCCTCTCCCTGTGGCTGCGATGTCAACTTTGCACCACGAACTTTCTCTTTCCCCGATGGTGCCCCATCACTTCCTCTTGCAACGCCACGTTGTTGCCTGAGCCTACCCTAAGAGCACCCCCTAAGCCAGAGGCTGGCTTTCGTCCCCTCCCCTCTCAGGTATAACTATACATAATATATATCTATATATTCTGTGTCTTTATTCATGGCGGACCAATTGACCATCATGTCGCGCGCAGACAGTTTTCAGAACCGGCTTTGGTTGCAGATTTGTTTTAGGAAATAGTTCGGTTAGGCAACCCACAGATCTTGACTCATATTGGCCCAGAACTGACATGTTTGACCTTTGCCACATGTGCAGCCTGGCCAAGACGTCAATCTGTTTCCGTCGCACAGAGCTGAGGAAATTGAGATAGTGATGACAAAGCCGAACCACAAAAAAATACCTTCCCATTCGCATCACGATTTCATGTCCCCCGCCTGCAACTGGTTGGAAGAGAAGAAGGGTTTTCCTTAGTGTTTGCTGGAGTCACACATGTGCCCACGGTGTGAGTTCGATTTAAAGATATCCATTGCCCATAGGCTATGCCAATCAAAGCGTCCAACTGACCAAACTTACGACTTTGTTAGCTTGTAATTAGCGCGTTTTTCACTCCCTGACACGGGTTGCCACGTCGGCAGATGTGAGATGTGCGTAATTTTTGGGAAATACACACGCCTAATCTTGGACCACCCCTCCCTTGTAGCAAGCGCCCCGTTCTGCTGAGTAATGCGCCCTATAGGCCTATAGGGTTTATTTCATCACGGCCGCGGGATCTTGGAACATTCCATTCCAGCGCTCAATGTGCACATTCTGGCACTATTTGCTGGAAGAGTGCACTTGGTAAGAAGCACTCTTGAGGGCATTGCTCAAAGATTCACCCATACTCTTCCTAATCACCTCTCCATGTGCCATGGGCGGTGCTCAAGCAGAATGTAGAAAAGAAGTTGGGCGTTGCGAGGGCAAGGAAAATGACGATCCAACACAATGCAAACATGCGCCCAGAGTGCCGCACACCTTTGCACGATCACCAAAGGTTTTGGTGCCAAGCCGTCGTGGCCCATGGCTATGGGATCTGCATGGAAAAAGGGGGCCCTCTAAGCCACACTGCAAATCAAAAAGGACTCAGGCTTTGATCGTCCTCGCTCAGAGGGTGCAGCTCAAACTCGCCAGCTTATGATGTCCATCAGCACTGATTGCGAGCGCATGCAAGGCGTCAGCAGCTGCCAAGTGCTTTGCTCGAAGTGCCAGGGTGTGCTCAAGGCCAAACCTAATACTGCCTTTGGTGGCGCGTGGCCAAGAAGTGCATCATTTTGCGCCCAATGCTTGACGTCACTGGAGCTGAAATTTTGAAGGATCTATCCAGCAAGGAGGGTTCTGAAATCCCAAAAGCCTTTGCCTTCCAGCAGCGATCGAAGTCCAAGACGATGATCCTGTCATTGGCTGCGGGTTGTTGTACATCCGCCAGCTCATCCGGTGGAATGGCCTTAGTCAAGACCCATCCAGCTTTGACGATTCGATTTCATCCAAAGGCGTCCCACGGACTTCAGCGTCGTCCAAGCATTTCGTGAAGTCCTTTGTCTTGGCCTGTTCGAAGAGTGCCCTTTGATAGGGCGTGAACTTTGGAAGTTGAACTTCAACACTTCCTTTTCTTGGTGAAGTACAGCATGGAGGTTTGCTTCACCATCTTTCGTTGACGGCTTCTCTGGTGGATGTCAAACGCGATGGAGAGCACCTTTTCGTCAGCCCTGAGTGCAGTGTGGTCCATTGAAGAGACACCCTGTTAGCATCAGCCTCCGTTTGCTCAACCCGTTTGGCGTCGTAGTTGTCAAGGCCTCTTGTTCAGGACACTCTAGATTCTGGATCCAGGTTCATAGTCTCTCGGCATTCTCAACCTTCATGGTGGTGATGTCATAGGCCTCATATATATAGGCTATAGGCCTCTACCAACGGGTGGACAGCTCGCCATGTCGATCATGAGGAGGAACTTCTGTTTGGTGACCTTGCCTGGGCTGGTCCATTCAGCAACATCCAGGCCCAAGACTTTCCAAGGACCACTTTGAACATGGGTAGCAGGAGGTGGTAACTATGTTTCCACCTGAAATGCCACCAGGACGAAGGCCATCACATGTTGGGCATCGACACTCTTGAGCCATGCGGACTTTCCAGGGGGCTAAGTTGGCATCCTTCACGATCTTGCCAAGTTGCGACCGCTACAGTGACCAGCGGTCTTGTGGAAGTGAGTAAGCGAACATAGTCACATATTGAACACAGTAAATAGAATAGTAATAGAAACAAAAAACATTTTAAACCACTTGAACAGAAAACACATATCTGAAAACAAAAACTCAGAGACTGCTTGCTCTCCCAAAAGACTTCCTCAGAATTGTTTTTTCTTGAGGGGTTTAAAGGAAGTTAGCGATGTTCAACGAAGAGAGTGCTTTCTGTCCGCAGAGTTGGCTCCGGGTGGGAGGGAGGGGCGCCTTCTTAATTGAGGTGCGTCTCTCAAAGCAAAAACCTTGAAAAAAAAGCAAAACAAAAAAACAGTTCTCAGAGACAAAGATCTCTAGACAATTGTCAAAAACAATTTCTTCTAGATCTTTGCGAATTATCATTTCGATCTTAAAAGCATTAAGTAAGTTATTGTATTTCAAAAGCTTTCCTCCAAATCTCTGCAAATAATCATTTCTATATCTAGAAAGCCTTTTAGAGACCACTTTTATTTCAATCGCTTTCCTTTAGATCTTTGGTAGTGAGTCCCTAAATAGAAAACTATCATTCTAAAAGCTTTCCTCTAGATCTCTGGGAGTAATCATTTCTATACTGAAAAACGTTAAAAGCTTTCACTTTTTCACTTTAAAGCCTTTCCTTTAGGTCTCTCAGAGTAATCACTTCCACATTGAAGAACTTTTTGTACAAGCTTTCATTTCAAAAGCTTTCCCTTAGGATCTTTTGGAAAGTCGATTTCCCTAAGTATGTATGTTTTCAGTAAATTTGTGGCGGTATATATATATATTTTTTTTTTCCCCACCTGACAGGTGAGGGTTGTTAGATTTTACGACAGCCCCATCTCCTCCGCGTCCTCTCCTCCGCCGGACCTCAACCACGACCAGCCACGCCCAGTGTTCCCTGCCGCACCTCAACCACGACCATCCACGCCCAGTGTTCCCTGCCGGAGCTCAACCACGACCATCCGCGCCCAGTGTTCCCTGCTGGACCCCAACCACAGCACACAACCACAATCACAAACACACAACCACAAACACAACCACAAACACAACAAGAAACACACAACTACAAATACAACCACAAACACACAACCACAAACGCAACAACAAACACACAACTACAAACACAACCAGAAACACACAGTCACAAACACACAATCACAAACACAAAACAACAAACACACAACCACACAGCCACAACCACAGCCACAATCACAAACACGCAATGACAAGCACACAACCACAAACACAACCACAGCCACAACGACAAAGACGCAACCACAAGCACAACCACAAACACAATCACAAACGCAACCGCAAACACACAACCACAAACACAACCACAAACACACAACCACTACCACTACCACTACCACTGCGACTATTACTACTACTACTACTACTTCTTCTACTACTACTTCTACTTCTACTTCTACTTATTCTACGACTACGACTACGACTACCACTACTACTACGACGACGACGACGACTACTACTACTACAGGGCCCCGGACGTTTGCAAGGGGAGGACAATTTAAATTATGATTTTCCCGAATGCGTAGCGAAGGTTTCTCGTTTAACTTGGGAGTCTGAGGGTAGAGGTGTGTTTGCCCGACGTTGTTTTCGAGTTCGCAACCGTTTGTAACCGTCTGCAACCGTCCGCAACCGTTTGCAACCGTCCGTATGATGTCTCTATGGCCCTGACATTGGGGGAAGCTTTTGCAAGTGACTTTTCATGGATGTGTCACGTGTCAGTCTGCGCCGCTATTACATTGTGATTTGCATGAAAGTGACATGTCGCGCAAGAAACGTGATGCATTTCGCTGCACAAGCGCAGGGTTTCGTGAAAGTGACACGTTTGTGTCGGTATTCCATTGGGATTAGCGTTTGGAGAGTCGTGTTTTGGGGTGTTGGATGTGGCCGTGCCATTGGGGTTTGCGTTTCAGGGTGTGGCATCGAAGCGCTGTTTTCGTGACAAGTCTCAGCTGAAATGGTGATTTTGGTGGATGGGAGTGTGCTCAGAACGGGCCGAAATCATTCCAAACGTGTGGTGTGGTGCAAATTTTGTTGAAGCTCACATGAGATGACATTGTCACTTTTCGTGGCAGGCGCAGTACTTTGTGCGGGTTTTGAGGTGTGGAAGTGCGATTTTCGTGGCAGGCGCGGCGCAGGGAATCGTGAGGTTGCGATGTGTGACGGAGGTGACGTTTCGTGGCAGGCGCAGGACTTTGTGCGCGTTAGACGTGTGGACGTGGAAAGATTCGTGGCGGGCGCAGGGAATCGTGAGGTTGTGAGTTGTGGTTGAGGTGAATGTCGCTGTGACTTTGGGATTGGCGTGTGAGCGGGTGTTGTTTGGAGGGGCTGGAATCGCGAAACTGCTTGGCAGGGCTGCGCGATGGGTGTGCTCCGATGGGTGTTCTCGTTTTGCGGACTTTGAAAGTCTGAGTTTTTGAGGAAGTCTCGTACGAAACGCTCGTTTTGGAGCCATGACGTGTGACTCTTGGAGGAAGTCTCGTACGAAACAATTGTTTTGGAGACTTGACGTGTGACTTTTGGAGGAAGTCTCGGACGAAACGCTCGTTTTGGAGCGTGTGACTTTTGGAGGAAGTTTCGTGCGAAACGCTCGTTTTGGAGACTTGACGTCGGAAAGTGACATACCTGGCAGGACTTTGTCTGTGTTACACTTTCTGGCACAATGTCTAGCAAAGAGTGTCAAGAAAGAGTGTCTAGCAAGAGTGTCTAGCAGAATGTCATTTCAAGAGTGTCCAGCAAGAGTGTCTAGCAGAGTGTCCTGCCCAGCAAGAGTGTCCTGCCCAGCAAGAGTGTCTAGCAAAGAGTGTCCAGCAAGAGTGTCTAGCAGAGTGTCCAGCAAGAGTGCCTAGCAAAGAGTGCCCAGCAAGAGTGCCAAGCAAGAGTGTCAAGCAAGAGTGTCTAGGAAAGAGTGTCCAGCAAGAGTGTCTAGCAGAGTGTCAAGCAAGAGTGTCAAGAGAAAGTGTCAAGAAAGATTGTCTAGCAAAGAGTGTCAAGAAAGAGTGTGAGGCAAGAGTGTCGTGTCAAGAGTGTCCAGCAAGAGTGTGAAGCAAGAGTGTCCAGCAAACGTGTCAAGCAAGAGTGTCAAGAACAAGTGTCAAGAACAAGTGTCAAGAAAGATTGCCCAGCAAAGAGTTTCAAGCAAGACTGTTTAGCAAGAGAAAGTCTCGTGGAACATGCTCGTTTTTGGAAGCTTTGATTGTCGCTCCTGGTGAAAGTCTCGTGAAAAACGCTTGTTTTCAAGAGTGAAGAGTG